TCAGAGGCGTTAACTCGCAAAATAAGGTGATTTTTAACTACTTGACCATGATTTTTGGTGGGGGAAACTGGGGGCTTGAGTAATTTTATGAGGGGCATGCACCCTCCGCGCAACCCCCACCCTCTAGATACACCACTGTTTAGTAGCAAACACAACTGCACTCTATACTTTTTTATTGTTTTATGACACACATTTTGATGAGAGATTATTTGATCGATTGAATAACAGAGTATCAATATCAAATTTAGGAAATAATATAAACACTATTAAATTGGATGCAATTAAAAGAAAAAAAAACGAAACAATCAAATAATTACGTTTGTTGTTCTTCTCCATTAAAGGGCCTCAAGTGACACTCAATACACTGTTGCAGCAACTCTTCATTGGGGTCACAGGTCAGCTTGTTGACTGCTTCACATACGGCTTTACGCTTTTCTTCCAAGAGGTCCAAATGACGAACAAGCAGAAACTGAAGACCAGGCAAGTTCCTAAATCTGAATTCAAAAATGTAAGCTTTTACTTTCTACTGCCATCAGTCAAATTTATATTCATAGATCCTACTTATTTTATCGTGTGGTTATTCCCACCAGCCCTTCCTACTATTCATTCACATTAAGTTGAAGTATGGGGGGGGGCTTGATGATCAGTTCAGAGGCATTAACTCGCAAAATAAGGAGATTTTAGGTGATTTTTAACTACTTGACCATGATTTTGGGGGCTTGAGTAATTTTATGAGGGGCATGCACCCTCCGCGCAACCCCCACCCTCTAGATACACCACTGTTTAGTAGCAAACGCAACTGCACTCTATACTTTTTTATTGTTTTATGACACACATTTTGATGAGATATTATTTGATCGATTGAATAACAGAGTATCAATATCAAATTTAGGAAATAATATAAACACTATTAAATTGGATGCAATTAAAAGAAAAAAAAACGAAACAATCAAATAATTACGTTTGTTGTTCTTCTCCATTAAAGGGCCTCAAGTGACACTCAATACACTGTTGCAGCAACTCTTCATTGGGGTCACAGGTCAGCTTGTTGACTGCTTCACATACGGCTTTACGCTTTTCTTCCAAGAGGTCCAAATGACGAACAAGCAGAAACTGAAGACCAGGCAAGTTCCTAAATCTGAATTCAAAAATGTAAGCTTTTACTTTCTACTGCCATCAGTCAAATTTATATTCATAGATCCTACTTATTTTATCGTGTGGTTATTCCCACCAGCCCTTCCTACTATTCATTTTAATAATAAAATTCTAAACAATTATTGCAAATAATCTTGCAGATTCCATATCTAAAAGCTTGGTTTCCACACAATCGCTACACGCCATCGCCAACAGCTTTCAGTGATGCAGAAACTGAAGACCAGGCAAGTTCCTAAATCTGAATTCAAAAATGTAAGCTTTTACTTTCTACTGCCATCAGTCAAATTTATATTCATAGATCCTACTTATTTTATCGTGTGGTTATTCCCACCAGCCCTTCCTACTATTCATTCACATTTCTCCTACCCAAGGTTGCTCTCTACTGAGGGTTCCTCCCTACTATCCATCTTTAACAGATTCCTCACAACTTGTGCTCTTTATCTCCAACAGCAATCCCCACTAGCCCTCCACCCAAAGGAAATATAATTATGCAAGGCCCTACCTGTTCACTAGGCTTATAACACCGGCAGTTGCATTAGCATCCAAATCAGCTTTCACTCTACTGGTAATCTCATCGTCTATGCCTAGTTTTTGAAAAAGGTCAATGGCATCCAACCACCAAGTAGAACTAACTGGAATCTGTTTGACAAAAATGTGTAGTGGCTTTCAATTTAAAAAATTGTACAATCAGTACAAGCATCACTTATGGATGGATTCGCCTCACTACCATCAACACTATTTTTTCATCCATCCACCTGTCTCTTCCTTTGTGCATTCATTCAATTCAATTATTAATCATTATAATTTTCTGATGCATTCAACTATCAATTCATTATGATTCAATAATTCCTTTATTCCATTTATTTATATAATATTGCAAAAGAAAGGCTTTCACACCAAACTGACCCTCATAGCAGTAAAATAAATATAAATGCATAAAACTTTAGGCAATAAATATGAAAATAATTATAATTAAGGTAAGAATTTTTGATAACTTTGTCTATCAATTCTTCAACCATATTTACCAGAATCATTTTTACCACCACAATTTTTCTCCCAACCATAGTCTACATTCACATTATGTCACTGAAATAAAACTTTGTCACTGAAATTTTACCTTTGAAGCTAGTTCATGGATCTTGTCTTGCACTGGCTTCAAACCTTCCTTAGCACTATTTACTTTTACTAATGCTTTAGCCATGTAACCGTCATAGATTTCAGAGGCCTACAATAAAAACAAAGCAGGTATATCAGTGGCATCTCTACGGGAGAGCATGGGGGCATGCCCCCTCAAGTAGTTAAAAATTACCTCAACCCCAACTAGTGTCCCCACCTCCCCACCGCATGTGACCATCAGCTATGTCAAATCCTAGATATGTCGTTGCTAGGGGTGACACAATTGCTTACATGGTTGGTAGTCTTATAACGCCCCTCATTCTATGGCACACTAATATGTCTTTCAATTCAATGCTAATAACTTACATAAACATACAAAGTAAGGTACTATAACTCAAATATTGATATCTATTGTTCAAACTTATTAAAAAAAAAAGCATAAGTTAAGAACTTATAGCCTGTTAAGCAATTATAGTCAGGTTTTGACTACACTATAGGAAATAGAAGTCGAAGGAGCCATTATTTCCTGAAAAAAAAAATGCCTGAAGCCAAGAGGACTAAAAGCAATTTTTGAAGGAAATAATGGCTCCTAAGGCGTCTATTTCCTATAGTGTATTCAAATCCTGATTATTGATTGTGGTTAATGAAGTTTATTAGGGGTTATAAGGTAGGCCTAACATCCAGGTACACATTTGTTTAGATTAAAATGTATTGCAAACATTATTATCAATTTTTTCAGCGTTGTCTAATTTTTTTCAGTTCTTTTATAAGTCAATCACCTTGTTATCTCAACAATTATGCCTTTCTAGGCCTTGCCTAAGACAGTCTAGGCTTTATTCGTGTTAACCAGCGCCGTAGAGTGAGATTTGTTAGGTTTGCTGTATGCGTTCATAGCTTGGCCTAGCAACAAAATATTCCATTGTGATGTACTGTGGTAAAATCACCCCAGCTTTGAGTTTTTTGGACATGAGATGCAAAAAATCGGAGGCACTATATTGAATTAGTGATCAGTTGGTTATAGGAAAATTCAGTGCAAATGAAAGTGATGATGTCACCACTTACTTTATAAAATGATATATAGGGCATCTTGCTAAGGTCTCTAAAGACTTCATACTATTATCTATCTATATAAAAAAACCAGCATAACATTAAGTGCCAGTTATAGCCTACAGTGATATATAGGGCTTTTTGTTAAGACTTCTAAACACTTCATGCTATTATCTATCTATTTAAAAAATAGCATAACATTAAAAGCGTATAGTCTACAATGATATGTAGGGCATCTTGCTATAAGGCCTCTACACACTTCATGCTATTATCTATCTATATAAACAGCATATCATTAAGTGCCAGTTATAGCCTACAATGACATGTAGGGCTTTTTTCTAAGACTTCTAAACACTTCATGCTATTATCTATCTATATAAAAAATAGCATAACATTGATAATGATATATAGGACATCTTGCTAAGGCCTCTAACACTTCATGCTATTATCTATTAAAAAATAGCATAAAAGGCTTATGTCCACAAACAAGTAAACAAAGATTTTTTGAAGTATAACAATAATAACGTTAGCCTAAGTCTCATAAGGGGTATATCACTAAGGCCTGTTAGAACTTCACATTATTGTATTATTATATATATCATTAAGACCTTGGTGTTTACACTGAATAAATCCATCCATCCTCTTGAATACTCCACTTGAATAAAGGCCTCTTAATGTCAGACAAAGAGGCCTTTATTTATTATTTATTTAATTAATTTATACATTTTGAAGTATACTTATAATAATAATGATAACAATGATGTTATTCTTACAAAGAGCATAATATCGCTTACAATATGCTTCTTAACTTCACATTATTATATACAATGTACCTTCCAATAGAGGGAAATGGCGAACCACGATGACGTCACTGAAATTAGCTGAGTTGAGTATAAATTTGTTAACAAAGCAGATCTCCCTATGTTTTTTTATGCAGTAGTGTTCAAAAGTTATGATAAAGAACGTTTAAAAACATATACAAAATAGCAGGTTAGGAAATGTTTACAATGCCCTTTACAATGCTAATGTTATATAGATAAATCTGAACACATTTTATTTCAATTAAATAAAATAAATAAAACTCAAAACATTTCTTTTACCAACCAGCCTAGGTCTAGGCTAATACAGGCCAACTCCTAGGATCCCACACACACACACTGCTTTGTTGTTGATTGGAGAGCCATAACCATAGATGGAACCATCATTTGCTATAACAGTTCCTAGCTTTATTCAATGTGTCATTGCAGGTTAAACAACCCACCACAAGTCTGACATATTGTTCAATTCATCACATGGGTGGCACTACATTGCAGCAGCTACGGATCTCCTGGGGCTGCCTAACCATAACTTTCTCACGCTCTAATTATCCATGCGGTTGAATTACATACTTACTAAATCTCGCAATTGATGATCTCGCAAGGTAGGATTGACTCCCTCTGGTGTGGTATCCAGGAGTTTACGTAAGTTGACCATAGCATGGTACAGTTGCAGTTTATCAGTACGCAGCTTCTCCTTAAATTCTTCTGAAGAACGAAGCACCTCACGATACTTTTCAACTGCTTCGGCAACCTAATTAAATAATTTGTACATACAGTCAAACTTTCCTAAATCTACTTTGCCTAACTCAAATAATTTTTCTAAAGTTAAAACTTATTTTACATGCCAAATTTTTCTTTTCCATTAATTAACAATCTGTAAGTCCAATTTTATCTAAGTTGAACAATTTTTCAATGGCATTTTGGATTCGACTTAGGCAAGTTCAACTGTATACAGGTTTCCCTCTAATTAAACACCCCTCCAATTAAAGACTACCTCTAATTAAAGACCACTTTTATGTGGTCCCAAATTAACAAATGTCTTTTATCTTTATTATTCTAATTAGAGACCAGAGCTGCTAAAGGCCATGGAAACCACGGTCCTAAAAGTGGTCTTTAATTGGAGGGAGACCTGTATTATATTTGTGAAACTGTGAAATCCAAAGTTCAGTATAAATCTGATATAAGAGAAAAAAACTACAAAAAGAAACCATATTCCAAAATAATAAAATTAAAATTATTTACTAAACAGATTCCATAATAAAAAACAAATTTCAATGACATTATTGTTATAGTTAATATTTTTAAATGATTCCTGCTCCTTATAGTTGATGAGATTTTATGCTGATCCTCTTCTGTGAAAGTTATGCCTTTCAAATGCTCAATAAAAAAACTATTCAAGTATTTTTGTGGTTAAATAAAATATGTAAATATTATTGTCATGCTTACTGAATCCTGGATAAGCCATTATATCTCATCCATTAACATTGTTCTAACATATTACTTTGTTAATACCTCAGATTTTATGATATGGACTGCTGCCAAACCATTGAGGGAACACACCAACTGTCGATGACACTCCTCGCTCTCGATTTTAGCCTTTTCTTGTAAGGATGTTAGTAGTTGATCCATTGTCAGAAAGTCCTTCTGTAATGGGACAAATTGTCCACGAACTGCTTGTGGATGGCAACAGGCCTGCCTCAAACGAAGTAAAGGGAACAGGAGCTACAGAGAAATGAAGATGATGAAATGTAAAGTCTACATGCTATGGGTCAGTCTTACACAGATGTAGACCTCATACCTACAAGATGAGATTAAGTTAGCAACAATCCTCCACCTTGCTCTTACATAAACTTCTAACGAAAAAAGGTCTGGCAAAATGTAAACAGCTTTGTGTAGAAATTGTTTAGGATTTCAGGGTTTGTCAATTGAAGATGAAATGTTTTTGTTGAGGTTTATTTCACAAACCCATAATGATGTTCTACAATGTATACAGTATTATTATAAGATAAAAAATTTATAGGGATTTTAGTTTATCAACACAAAATCATTGTGAATGAATTCATATAGGAAAACAACAAATATAGCAGAAATGCATCATTGTTTAGTAACAGTAGAAATGGTTTGCCTTCCCAATCTCTAAGTCAGAGTTTTAAGACTATTTCGATTGTGTTCTTAAGTAAGGCCCCTTATTAGCATTGTTTCTCTCCTGCAGGTGCATAAATAGGTACAAAGTGAGGTTGCCAACTAATGTGGACCCAATGACTATGCATTAAAAAAATTGCTTTGTAACTAGCTGCATTACTTCACTTTGCTAAAAGTAGAAACTATTCAAACTGAAGCGAACAACCATCAGTCAAAAAGTGCTCACTTGACGTGAATCGGCTGTAGAATGTCTAATGCTTACCTTTTGAACAGTGTCTCTGTCAACGTCACAAAGCTTAACATCCAGATCTCCCTGCTTAAGGTGCTTAAATGCCTAAAAATATAACAAAAACAACATTATTATGTTATAAATTTTAAAATTATGAAAAAATGTTTAAAAATACATAACCATGAGATGGTGTGGTTAGTAGAGACTTATCTACTTTGCATGGTCTGATGCACTAAACCACAGTATACAAATTTCATAGCAGATAAATGTATAAATAAGATGTAACATCTTCCAAAGCAGATTCAGCTTTCAGAAGTTACACATCTCCACTAAGTCACCATGAAGGCTATTTATTGCTTGGCAATTTTTGCAATTCTTGGTGTAGCTGTTAGAGCTATCCCACTCAAGAAGGAAGCTCAGAGCTATAAGGCTCCAGGTGTATACTATTCTGAACATAGTGGAGCTGACGGAAAGGTATGTAGAAAGGAGACTTGCTTTTTTATCATTGAGAAGTCTCATAGCCTTATTATTCCATTAGTGTACTTACACTGTCCCTCCAGACTGATTCTGGGAGAGTAGAAAGTCCTGGAATAGAGCCACTGAGTTTAGCTCTGGGACAAGTCTCTAGAAGGTATTGAAGATACACTTCCCAGTCATTAACAATATGTCGATGACGAAACGTTTTAAACGTGCCAATAAACATCAAGGAAGTTATGGAAATGTATGTGGAAAGGAACATTACTTTTGCTCTAGTAATGATAATATATTTTTAACAATATATTTATATCATTTTTAATCTATCATGCAATCAATAAAATAATATGTTAATATTTACATATTTCTAATATTGTTTTTAGGGATATGTACAACCCAAGGCCTATTATCCCAGTTATCAGCAATATGACGACGCCAAATATTACAAACATGACAGTGAAAATCAAGGAAGTTATGGAAAGGTATGTGCAAAGGAATATTACTTTTGCTCTAGTAATGATAATAATTTATATCTAACAATATACAGTATTTATATCATTTTTAATCTACCATGCAATCAATAAAACGATGTTAATATTTACATATTTTTAATAATGTTTTTAGGGATATGTAAAACCCAAGGCCTATTATCCCAGTCATCAGCAATATGACGATGCCAAATATTACAAAGGTGACAGTGAAAATCAAGGAAGTTATGGAAAGGTATGTGCAAAGGAATATTACTTTTGCTCCAGTAATGATAATAATATATATCTAACAATATACCTATATCATTTTTAATCTACCATGCAATCAATAAAACAGTATGTTAATATTTACATATTTTTTAATATTGTTTTTAGGGATATGTACAGCCCAAAGCCTATTATCCCAGTTATCAGCAATATGGCAATGCCAAATATTACAAACGTGAAAATCAAGGAAGTTATGGAAAGGTATGTGCAAAGGAATATTACTTTTGCTCTAGTAATGATGATAATAATATATATCTAACAATATATCTACCGTATATTCCGGTGTATAAGCCGCAAATTTTATACGCGATTTTCCCCCTGAAGTTTGGGGTGCGGCCTATACACCGGTCATTAACCTACACCTAAAAGTTCAGATCGCGAGCCGCGGCGAAAATCAGGCGCCGTCTGTCTAGGTTAGGCCTATGCTAGCTCAATTAATTAGCCTAGCCTAAAACCGGTTTGTAGCCCTAGTATTTGTAATTATACTCACTACATTACTGTACTAGGATTCCTACTACATTTTCTACGACATTCAAGCAATAGTTTGGGTTGCCTAAATAATTATTTTCATAATTATGTTCACTTATAAACAATTTTGAAACACGCCGTTTCTGTTCGAAACCGCTTTGCTCAAAACAATAACAAACTCCTCGAGATCACGTGAGCAGCTTCATTTTCGATGTCGCAACAAAACACACATGGGCTGGTGAAACTTGCAGCTCGATGTCTGGTTCCCAGTGGCTTGTACCGTTATAGAGAGAATATTGATACCGCTATAATAATTTTAGAATAAAAACTTGTAAAATTAATTTATGCTATAAAAACTCGAGTTTTCTTGAAGTTGTAATAATTATTTTACTGGAATTTAACTGTAGAAAGGCATACATCATCTAGGCATGCGTGAATTTTTTATCCACGATATTTCTCCAGTTCAGTTTTTGTTTATAAACCGCGGTGCGTGATGGTGCATGCTTCGCACAGTGGGCTGTGAGTAGTAATGACTTAAGCCTAGAATTACGAATATTTTTAGCCTAATACCGACTGTTATAAGTCAACATAATAATAGAATGATTGTTTGAAATAGATAAATATACTTAATAAGTGTTTATTTTATTAAACTCAAACTAAACTGATGTTGAAAATTTAACGTAGCACGACCGTCTAGCAAAAAATGGGGATTTCCCTAGGGCTGCCTAGCGCAAGAATACGTTGTTAACATGGCGGTAGCCAGCAGTTTACACGCATTTCCAGTTGTTTGTTGTTTAATAATCGGCCGAAAAAGATGTGAACATTCATAAATAATGTCAATGTTTCAAAATAATTAAAAACTTAACATTATGGGAACGGTTTGGAGCTTAAAAATAGGTGCAGCTTATACACAGGTGACAAAAAAAATCGTGATATTTCGCGTCCAAATTTGGGGGGGGGGGGCGGCTTATACACAGGTGCGGCTTATACACCGGAAAATATGGTATATCATTTTTAATCTACCATGCAATCAATAAAACAGTATGTTAATATTTACATATTTTTTAATATTGTTTTTAGGGATATGTACAACCCAAGGCCTATTATCCCAGTTATCAGCAATATGACAATGCCAAATATTACAAACGTGAAAATCAAGGAAGTTATGGAAAGGTATGTGCAAAGGAACATTACTTTTGCTCTAGTAATGATGATAATATCTTTATCATTATTTTATATCAACCATGCAATCAATTGAACAATATGTTAATATTTACAATTTTTTTTATATTGTTTTAAGGGATATGTACAACCCAAGGCCTATTATCCCAGTTATCAGCAACATGACAATGCCAAATATTACAAACGTGAAAATCAAGGAAGTTATGGAAAGGTACCGTATGTGCGAAGGAATATTACTTTTGCTCTAGTAATGATGATAATATATATTTAACCAGAACATTGCGGGTGTGTAGGTTCTTTTGTACGCAAAAACTAAACACAAATTTGGGAATTGCAATAATTTAATAGTCACCAAATTTATTCATTGCATTTTGCCAAATTTGAACAATTGGACTTGACAATTTTTAGTTATCGTGGTATGGTAACAAGCAGCGACTTTTTTCCCTTTTGAAATAGAGTAAAGCAACACCTAATGAGCAAGTACACAAGAAACTCGATCTCAAAATAATGCATTGCATTGTTTAGCATCACTGTCTCTTATACACATCTAGATGTGTATAAGAGACAGGGATTGGGGTTAATTTTACTTTTCTGCATATCAACATTCTTTCTGCACGCATCTTAATAAATCTTTTTTTAACTAAAATATGACAAAAATCTTTAAATGAATTACTTAATCACAAATTTAACATAGATAAAAAAATTTATTAATAACAGAATGTTGAGCAC